ACCCATTTCCCCCTTACTCCAGTCCTCAGACAGGTTGGTGGTCTGTATGGGTCTCTCATGCCCCGCCAGGCCCCTCTACCAGTTTTGGGCCATGCACAAAAAGAAATCTTTGCATGGGCACGCATTTCCCCCTTACTCCAGTCCTCAGACACATGCCTCACCATCACCACGATAATTGAGTTCACTGCTGAAGGCCTTACTCCCAAAATTAGGGCATTCTATTGCCCAGTGACCTAGGTTACCATAGTGGCCCCAAACCACTTGCCCGGCCACGCCAAAAACAAAAAGAAAATGATTTTTTGTAATTTTATTTTATTCTTTTTTTTATTTTAAATTTGGTAAAGAATTCCGATGTGACCTTAGGCAAAAATTGTTCAGTTTATTTTTCTGCATAACATAGTTGTTTTCAACTTTTCGTTTTTTTTTTTTTTTTTTTTTGTACTCACCCCCGTACGAGTACAAGTTGTACTCATTTTTTGTACGCTACTTGTACGCAAGGCCCGTACGAGTTTTTTTAATTTGTTTTTACTATTTTTATTTTTTTTTCTCCAATTCTAATAAGAATCTGCAGATGGTGCTCAGGCAAATGTTGCTTGTCTTGGGATTTTACATCACATATTTTTTTTTTCGGATTTTTTGGATGACTTCTTTTTTTTTTTTTTTTTCATACGGGTCGTACGAGGGCGTACAGGTTCCCGTACATATATTATCTGTACATTTCGTACGGAAAGGCCCCGTACGTGTACGTTCGGTAACGTAGGTTGGGACCTTCATTGGTCCTTGCACATCCAGCCTGGGAAAACAGGGTGACCCGGGTGGCCTGGCTGGTAGTCTGGATGGCACTTGCAGCAGATATCTTTATCGGCTGCACCTCGTATTGAGACGTATACCACCTTCACTGCTGCAGCCCCCCTCCATAAGAATTAAAGCAATCCTTCACCCAGTGACCTTGTTGATGGCACTGAAAGTGTTGATTTTGGGGCAGTCTTTACCCGTTTCATGACACTTCAAGCAGGTACGTCTGTCTGCTGCGCATCGTACACCTTCATTGCCAAAGTCACTGCCGCCCCCCCCTGACCCCGAGCCTCCATTTCATGGCACTTGGAACATGCTTGTCTTTCTGCTGGCACCGTATAATAGCTTAATTGCTGCAGCCCCCCTCCCTAAGAATTAGGGCACTCATTCATCCAGTGCCCCGGTTGATTGCACTTGAAGCAAGAATTTTTGGGACAGTCTTTCATCCAGTGACCCGTTTGACCGCATTTGAAGCAGGGACGTTTGTCGGCTACACCTCGTACACCACCCTCACTGTTATCACCTCCCCCCCTGCCCCTGCTGCCACCCCCACCCCCGCTCCCAACCCCACCCCCAAAACCTCGTACACCACCTTCACTGTTCTCGGCCCCACCCCTACCCCCGCTCCCAGCCCCATCATCCCCAAAACTAGTACACTCCTTCTCTGAATGCCCCGTTTGATGGCACTTTAAGCAGGCATTGCTGTCTGCTGCACCTTGTACCGCACCTTGTACCGCACCTTGTACCGCACCTTCACTGCTGCGGACCCCACCACCAGAATAAGTGCATTCCTTCACCCAATGACCCGGCTGATTGCACCTGAAGCAGACAGTATTCCTGTCTGCTGGGCCTCGTACGGCACCTTCACTGGCTGACGAGTCTTGTTTGCTGCTCCCCCTTCCATAACTGTGTGCGTGCTCTCCCTTCGTCTCCTCTCCGTCTTGTGGAAGTCCTGCCTGCATTCTCCTGATCATTTCAAGACGTACTCTGGTTTCTTCAGTGTAGTCAAGGGGGTTGACTTTGACAGCTGTTAATTTTACCCGTGTTTCGCCCTTTTGCAACTCCACATTCACCTTGAGCAGAATCTGTCGAAGGAGAGCCTTCTGGAATGTCTGCGCAAATCGCAAGTCGTCAGTTCCTTTCCAACTCCATAGGTCAACGGCGGACACTCCCAGAACTGCCTCACCCAAGTCTCCAAATGCAGTCACCCGTGCCTTGTCAGTGCTGTCCTGGATATCAAAGTCCAGTTTGTACTTGTATCCAAAGCCTCCAATCACTTCATCAAAGATTATATTGCACGTCTCACATTTGTACTGGCGATCACCCATTTTGACCACCTTTTTGCCGCACGTACGGCTGTCCCCAGCCCTCTTCTGTAGACATGCCAGATACACAGCATTGTTTTGGTTGACACGCGATATCGTCCCACGAATCCAGACTTGATATGCACGTCCACCTGATGCAAAACCTTCACCTTTGATCTGCGAAATCATTTTTCGAGTTTCTATCGGGCCAGCTCCTCCACTGCTGCGATCTCTTTGCTTTACATTAATGGTTGCCAACTGGCCGCCACCTTGTGCTGCCGCCCAATCTTTGAGATCTGCGCCCACGGGGAGATCAGGGTTGATGGTCAATTGGGTCTTTGGGATGGTTTCAACCAACTTACGATTCCTGTACTCGCTCACACGTGCGGCCGTAACTGCAAGAACGGGGGGTGAGGAACCGTTAGCCCAAAGATCATGCAACTGCTGGCCTTCCCGGGAGCAGAACTCTCCCCAAAGGGTAAGGTCGACGTTCTTCTCAGACCTGTCCCACAACAATAACTTCCTCTTCTGCGTTTTCGTACCATTCTTGCGAGTGATTGATTCCATCGGGCCAACATGAATGACGAGAGCAATCAGATCGACTATTGTATTGATTTCCATTGTTAGCACGTCGGATATTACTTGAAATTGAGACCTTGGCACAGGTGTATTATTTACATCTGCATCTTCATCATGGTCTATGGTCGAAAAGGTCTCCAGGTTGATCTCCCAAGGGTGCTCGAGGTGGGAGAAGCCTGTTCGTGCTTGTTTCAGCGATCCATTTGACACACAATACACTTTGCCAACCGCTATGCTCTCATAAAACTTTTCCGCAACCTTGTCGAAACATACCACACGGACCCTCCGGGTGTTATCTTCCAGGTGGAAGCTGAACCACGTACCGCTGCCTTTTGCATTGTTATAAGGCTGCATGTCTTTCTTTGCAGTCACCCTTGCCTTGACGGTCCACCGAGTTTTCATTGGACTCAACTCAGAGATCGGGATGACAGGAGCGCTCGCATCAATGTTTGCAGCTTGAAAACGCAAAGCTGATTTTCCTTCGTCCGCCTGCCTGCGCAGGTGCTGTGGCTCGGCCCCGTACTGCTTACTCCATATCTCTAAGCTCCCTGAGCTCTGTGACTGCTGTTGTTGTTGTTGTTGTTGTTGTTGTTGTTGTTGTTTGCCTGTACTGCTTATTCCAGGAGGAGGTCCTATGCTTCCTCTGCCCATCACAGCCATGACGTCCTCACTGTGTGAATGTCTTCCAGATGGCATCATCATGTTGAGATTGCTTGTCTGAGTCAGCTGTCCATCACCACCTATTGCTACTGGCCTTGCCGCCAACTCCTGCAGCGGTGCACTCTGTTGAATGGTGCCATTCGCTGTAACGCCAGACATTCGTGGAGGAGGGTCTGGTCGTCTTCCAGGTGACGCCATCATCGTCCCGTTTCTGTTATAGCCGTCATCGCCGACTCCGAGGAGTCCTGTGACCATTTCTACGGGCCTTGCCACCAACTCCTGCAGCAGTAGACTCTGTTGAACAGTGCCATTCTCAGTGACTCCAGACAATCGTGGAGCATGGCGTTGGCTGTGAGCGTCCGGTCGTCGTCCAGGTGACACCATAATGGTCCCATTTCTGCTCTGGCTGTCATTGCCCGCTCCCAGGAGTCCTGCCTCTTGTCCATGCAGCTGTGCACTCCTTTGAACAGTGGCACGCCCTGTTACTCGAAACTTTTGAGGATCATGACCTTCGCTGTGAGTGTCTGGTTGACTTCCAGAAGACATCAGCAGCGTTCCATTTGTCTTCCGCCCATCATCATACGGTCCCAGCAATCCACCCCCCAGTCCCTGCATCTGTGCACTCTGTTGACCAGTCCCACCATTCCCTGTAGCTTGACAAATTCCCGGACCATGGGCTTTGTTCCCAGCGCCGGGAGGTCTTCCAAGCGACGCCATCATGGTCCCATTTCCATTACCGTCATCAGCTGCTCCCAAGAGGCCTGCACTCAGCCCCTGCACGTGTTTGCGCTGTTGAGCTGCTTGTCTGCACAAGAAATCCCGCTTCTGCTGCGTCTGTTGGTGCTCCTGCTTCTGTGGGGGTGGTTGCTGCTGCTGCTGTGGAAGTGGTTGCTGAGGAGAACTGACCCTTCCTGGATCAGAAATTGAAGATGGGTGACCAATCGTATCTCCCCAATGTCCAATCACATCAAAATCTTTAACAACAATCATCCTCCTGCTAAGATGATGCCAAGCACAGAAAATGAAAGGATGTCAAAAGAACGGACGAAATCGTGGTGGCCAATGCTATACAAGTCCTGAACTACCTAAAAAGAAGTCAGATACAAAAACACACATCGGTAAAAATTTAGGACGAAATCGTGGATAGGTAGATGGAAATTTTAAAATCTATGGCAGTACTAGGAATCTGGTTGCTGATGGCGAATTGAAGTTTATTGAACTGAATTGATGGGCATGTGTGATTGGCCTTGGTTCCGTGAAGACCATAAGCAAAACTAGGTAAGGCTCCTAGCATAACTCCGGGTTGTTTGTGAGGTCCCGACCTCTGTTTGCCGTTTATAACTTCATAATAATGGAACAGTGAGTTGTGTTTTAAAATAAATAAATTACACCCATAGGGCCTCGCTGCACAACTCACCAAATGTGCAAAATGAGAACGACACTTCCGCTAGAACATGGGAAGATACACTGCCATATTTTTTGTTTTTTATGCACGTGGGGAGTAGCGGACCGAGGCCCATAGTCTCAGAAAGATCAGAATCGTAAGGAAAGTTCAGAAGCAAAAAAGAAGAACAGATGTGAGACGCCCAATATCTCACTTCTTTTCTTTTTTTTTCTTTTTTTTTGGGGGGGGGAGAACGCCCCCATCCCGTAACCCCTCGACCTAGACCAAGAGTGCGATCATCAAACGGCTTCCCGCTCGGGAATGGACTTCTCCAGAAAATAGGACCATTTCTCAACTCCTGTGCGCCATCCCTGCGCAGGGCGCTGGCATTCCCGCTCGGGAATGGACATCTCCAGAAAATTGGACCATTTGTCGATTCCTGTGCGCCATCCTTGCGCAGGGGCTCTGTCCGGATACAGTGAAATCAAATCTTACTCTTTAAATGTGAGACCCTCCACCTCCCCTCCCCCCCCCCAAAAAAAAAAAAAAACGGGACGTAAATTTTGAGGATTGGTGCCAAGGAAAACAGTGTTCGGATAAAAAAAAGAAAAGAAAAGAAGTGCTCGGATGGAGAGTACCCAGAAAAATGTGCGTATTCACGGGACGGGGAACAATGAACGGGCCGGGCACGGCCGGCAAACCGCACTCAAAAGGGGGTTCTTGTTCCTCAGGTTATAGATGCTGATATCACCCCCTCTAGTAGCAGTCTCCGGCACTCAAAAAGATGAAAAAAGGGGAAAAAAAAGAAGGAAAAAAAAAGAAGAAGAGAAAAAAGAACTTCACAACCACTTCCTCTTGTTGAAGTGTTCCACCGCTGAGAGGCTCGAAGAGTTGAGCCTTGACGCTCGTAACAACCGCTCTCCGAACCGCGCGAGATGGTCACCCATCAATTGGCTCTCCAACTCAAGTTGCCTTGGATACATGAGATGCCTTAGAGATGCAACCCCCTCAATGAAACCCAACCTGTTATGATCCTGGCCAATTTTGAAGTAATTGCAAAACAAATGAATGAACTTGAGCGGAGAGAGAAGAAGCAGAAAGAAAGAAGAAGAAGGAGACGTACACCAGCAAAGACCAATGATAATTCCCTTCTTCTCGTTATCCACTCTCCTCCTCCTTTTCTCCTTCCCTCTTTATTCACAATAAATAATAATAATAATGTTGAATGGCTGAACCAGAATCAATGGCCGAATCCCTCGTCTACTGCAGGTACATCATGAGGTCCACCATAACCATGGCCACCCTTCTCCTTCCTCTTCCTGAAGGCTGAGGCTATGGCCGACTGCTAGGGCCTTGCCCTGATGTGCAAGAGACAACTGAAAGCACCTATAGCTGCTCTGGCTCATACCGCCATGCCTGACTCTGCAGTGGCTCTGCCCCCAATGGGGCCTTCCAGATGCAGCGGCCACCAAGGTGATGAAGATGGTGTCCACCAACTTCTTCCTCATCCTCCAGCCCTGGGGAGCTGGGCTCTCCTTCCTTCCCAGCAGCGCTGCTGCGACCAGTGCTGCTCCAGACAGCGCTCCAAGCAGTGTATCGCCAAACTCGCACACCGTAGAACAAGGAGGAGCTCATTGCTCCTCCAGGAGATATAGCGGCCTGCTTGCCACTTGGTGGTGACTTCCAGGCCGCGGGGTCTCCAAGCAACCAGTACCTCCTCCCTTTCGGGAGGGAAACATCATTGCAGACTCTGATATTGCCCGTACAGGCCCTAGACTCAGACTGGTTGGACTGGTACGTGCCTAGACCTATCCTACAACTACTGCACCTCTAAAAATGCCAACTTTTGTCTTCTTTTGCTTGCCCTCGACTACCTGGCACATCTACCTCTACTTGGTGAGGTACTGGCCTACCTGCTACTTGAGTGGTTTTCTACTGCTCTAAGTGTCGCAGGTCTCTTTCCCCGCCACTTGAGTGCTTTCCCGCTGCAACCCTCAGTCCCGGCCACAGGTAAGTACAGGCCCTTCAGGCCTCCCGTTCGGATGAGTATCCTTGCGGGTCACACACACACACACACACTCACTCAAAACCGACAAGCACTCAGACGGGCACTCTGACCAGCAAGCACGCACACACACAGACTTAGAAAAGTCAGCAACAGGCAGGAAGCTCGGCAATGCATTCATTCCATTGGAAAAACCCAGAAATCAGCTGTGTGTCTCAGTCCGTGTTCACTTGTGGTTAATCGGTGATGTCATTTTCGGCGAATTTTGGCGATTTTCTCACCGAAACTGCCATATTTCCCTGAATTTTTACTTTTTTCTGTCTGATATGTATGTGCTTTAGGAAGTTTAGACTCTAGAGTATATCTGTAATGATTCTGTATTCAGTTTTGAGTCTTTCGACGTAATTAAAGTTATTAAACCAGTAACAAAAAAGTTGGCAAAAATCTTTTGCCTAATCTTTCTCCGAATCCGGAGAAAGATTTGGCGTCCTTTTGAGATTTTTTTTTTTCATAGCTTCTTGGAGACTCCC